CACGTCACGAAGACGCATATTATATATATATATATATATATATATATATATGTAAGGAGTTTATTAATACGCGTACACACAATAATATACAAATGCAAATCAACGTAGAAGTGAGTATTGACTTACTTGTTCGCTTTAAGAAGCGCCTCCTTGCCCTCTCCAAGGATGTCCACGTGTTTAAGCTTTTACGTCCCACGTAGTTGCATGTTAGTATTGTTAATAATTGCCACACAGTGTGTGTGGATGTATTTACCATCATTGTAAGTGTGCGCGAGTAAATCGGGCCTTTCGATTCAGAATCGCATGTGGTACATTCGTATTTGGAGGTCTTTGTAGACACATTAAAATGTATAGCACAAATAGTTTAAATAGTATGCCTAGTACATATAGTTGTGATAGTATAATACAACAAATGCCTAGTGTATATAGGTGTACTAGTATAATACAACAAATGCCTAGTGTATATAGGTGTACTAGTATAATGTAAATAGTTTCAGTAGCATATGCCTGACTTGAATTGGGAGTCAAACCCTACAACCTAAACCCCTATAAGTACAACACATATAGTCTCAGTACTATTTGTGTGACTGAGCTTATGAGTTGAACCCTGCATCCTAAACCCCTAGAAGCACAACACATATAGTCTCAGTACTATCTGTGTGACGGAATTTAGCAGTCGCAATGCTTACCGGTCGAGGGCTCTGGTGGTTGAAGAGATTGGCAACAGCTGCGTCATCGAGTCCCGCCAATACTTCCTAAAAAGGGAAAACCCAGAAGAATATTGTATTCAGAGGAGTATTGTACTATAGGCAAGGGTGCATGCCACGTGGCGAATACTAAGATATATATTGAAGTATACGCTCAAAGGTTACTGTTCTATTAGAGAAAGGGACGTAAGTCATATCAGTAATATTAAGATTTATATATATCAGTATTATAGGCTCAAGGGTTGCTGTTCTATTACAGACCAGGACGTACGTCATATCAGTCCGAACCATACGCACTCGTATAACGTCTTACAACACACACCCATACCTAAACATCCCACACGCCCCTATCTATCAATATCCGTAACCTACCGCACAATGACATAACTCTTTGCGTATATGCATGCAAAAGCTAAAACCCTACAATCGAGGAACATCCACTCTTACCTCAGTCATGCGGTCATGCAGCACATCGCACACAGCCGCGGATGGTTTAAGCATTCCCTCGATGGCATACACACTGCCCCGTTCAATTCGGATGATCTGGGAAAGAAGCGTGGGAGTTCAGTTAATGTGTGTCATGCCATATATATATATATATATACATACATATACATGGATTCGTAGATACAAAGATATATATATATATAGATATAAATATATATATGTATATGTATATATATATAAATATGCGATCAACCATTCTCAATGTTTATTTTTCGATAGTAGAATTTAAAGTTTTTTTCACATACTGTTGTCATTCTCGAGACCGCATATGTTCGGAATATCGGTAGCTATAGCAACCAAACACAATACCAAAAGGGCCTCTCACAACATAAACTAACTCCCATGGTACTTTCTGACATCTTCACTCACTCACAGATCTTTTACCATACCCAAACCCTGAACCATAAACCCTAGCGGACTTCGCGTGTTAAGAGTAACCGTGGAGGACCAAATACGGAAGACGACGCACACCACAATTCTAACACTCTCATTGACTCACGAACTTACATTCTGGGACGATCTAAAAATAGAATTATGGGGTTTATACAACGGTTCTACACTAGCCATAATCTTTAAAAAGATATCTATAAATACTCATAAGTCTCCAAATATTATTCATAGCACAATTAGGTGCCCATACGGGTATGCCACTCACAACACACTGTATGTACCTTCTCCAGACCGCAAATGGTTGCAATATCCGTAGCCTTCGATGACCATGGGCTGATGGTGCCTTGGCGAGGGGTGATCACCAATTGGCAACTGCTGTGGCTGTTCATGGCTACCACCGGAGCCTGTGCAGGAAGAGTACGTAGCAGGAAACTAAGTACAACGTACCTCCATGTGCTTCTATACATTAAAAAATATTATATATATATATATATATATATATGTATATGTATATAAATATATATATATATACTTGTGTGTGTGTGTGTGTGTCTACAATACCAACAAATACGCACAGTAATCGCAGGCGGATGCTTTAGAACCATAAAACTGGAGCATACACTGAGATTCCGTATCCATACCAACCAGTGAGAACAATGCCCACGTGATATCCATATGCCAAACCAATGCGAATCAATTCATTACACGACGACTCAGACGATCGAGCGATTGCATCGAACACAGTACGGGCGCAGGCCATTGGATTATGACTGTGGAAAATGAACAGAGCCGCTGTGGCTATAAACCTAATTCGAGATACAGCAAGATCTGTGATGAGAATAAATCCTGAAACCCTAAGGAGAAGTTGGCACTGCCGGCTTGACAAGTGATGTATAGAGTTATTTATCTATGTTATATGTAGATCTCGAGGTTTTGTATATATATATATATATATATATATATATATATATATATATAGATAGATAGATAGATAGATATATATACATTTATAGATATATATATATATATATATATATATATATATATATACATATATACATATATACATATATATATATATATATATGCATGCATGCATGCATACAACCCCACAACACTTGTGCAGATAAACTCAACAATCTACAATAGTCCAAACAACTCCCCAATTGTATATATCATTCAACCCCAATACAATAAATAAACGCACATGACATGTATATATACCCCCTGGTGACATACGTTGACATTGTCTTCCGCATTTGCCAGCAGGTTGGTGAGTAAGGTGTGCTCGTCCGTTGCGAGGATCTGGCTGACTTCGATGAAGTGCACATAGTGTCCGCAGATGTTGGTAACGGCCGGGTCTACTTCCTGCGCACGGGTTGGAGAAGGCATTTGATTGGTCAGCCGTTAAAATCTATTAATAGATACGTGCATATATGGAAATGAACCACAATTCACCCGCCGTCAGATGACTCCACTAGCATGTGTGTGTACTTAACGTTTATGCACACACTCAGGAATTGTACCGAACTTTATATCTTCGCATCCAACTCTCACTGGTAAGACATAATCAACCTCACATCCACTTGGTAAAATAGAACGTCTGACGCAGACTTACATACACCCGCACAAGTCAACCAATAAATTACCGAACTTTCATGTATATGTTGGTGTCAGTATTAAGTGTTTCAGTCAGTTAACATGTATACCTCCGTGAATGCTACGCCGTCTTTGACGGACATACAAAGCAAAACCCAATTGTCAACAGGAGACGACACATCTGCACACTGCTCAAAGCTTTACTTGAATTAGACTGAGTGAGCAGTTTAGATACGTACACACACATATATATGTACATGCATGCGTACGTATATATATATATATATATATATATATATGTACATGCATACGTGTACAACTATACAGGTATACACACATCAAGAACCATCTGCAGGTTTGACAGGTGCATGGGAAAAATAATATACACAGGTGGGCGTGAACTCTCACCATGAGCAAATATCAACGGATATATCAATATGAACGGAAGAGTTAAATATACATATATATATATATATATATATAGTGACCGATGAATGCATAAGTACATGTGTACATATACGTCTGTTTGCAACCTTATGATAGCACTAGTATGATATAGTGATCCTTGACATTGAACCTCGTGTGGGAGGACATACTATGAGTGCAACTGAAGCATGCAGCTCTGTAGGATCTCAGCTAACAAGCACAAGAGGTGCACATTCACCACATACACCCAAATGCAGGCATATTTCATAGATACAAAACTTCAAGCATATACACCACAAATACAACCAAATAAAAGCATATATACCACCCATGCAACAGGGAAACAAGCATCTATCTCACCCATGTACACATATACAAGTATCTAAGAAACACATGTACATAGATACAAGCATCTATACCACACATAGACACAGATACAAGCAAATAGACCACACGAGCAAAAAAAAATGAATATACAGACATACAAACAATATCCAAGCATTTATACCATCCATACACACAAATACCGGCATATTGAACACATGCACACACAAGCTTATGGGTCACAAATCTACACAGATACAAGCAAACATCCCACACACGTACATAGATACAAGTATATACGTACGCACATCCTACCTTCAGTTGCTGCAGGAGTCTAGCTTGTCTGGACACAGACAGGCAAGATCCGCCTTCAACTGTGAACACATGGTTCTGAGTCATCCTTTGTAGATTCAGATTGGCAACACACAGCGGTCTCGGATTATGAATAATGAGAGGCGTAAATGTATGAGTATTGCAATATTACTTATAAAGTAGTATGTCTTAATCTTGGAAAGTCTGACGGTTGTATGTGTAAGTACAACTTGCTATAGTATGGAAACAGTAGTATGCAATAGTAGTAACAAATTCAGGCCCATACACAGACGCACTTTAGTCTCCATAAAGGTTAAATACATATGGGTTATAAGCGATGTGCATCAGATAACGCTTTCCATATAATATAAAATATTTACAACATATTGTCGTTAATTACGTCATGCATTTGTGTGTATCTGGGGCCAAGAAGGTATATCCTGTAGTCTAAGTGATGGATAAAATACATGAATAAATATAACGACATATAGTTGAAAATCATGACAGTTGTTTGTTGTGAAAAGCGATGACACTTGTCACTGCACGTGGATCTGACGTTACGCCCTACCACCACCCACCAATAGTAATCGTTGCACACTTATAACTCTCTTGCTCCGTAGTGGGAGTATTGATATTTGAACACTTTAAATTGATAACACACGACAAGATTGTGTACCCTGCCTGTGAGTGTACTTACTGCACTACATAAAGTATATTGGCAATTTGTATATATGTGTATATGGGCGTCTAAGGATGTTCTATTATGCAACACTCCTTTTTGTAGTGTATAACAAAGGGGATACTGTTCCACGGTAGTACCACTACATATTTTAAACACAAAGGAAAGCATGCCCACATCGATTTATAATCTGAACGGTATCCTAAGTACTCCCTAATCAATGATACACATGCACACCGTGCGTCTGCGTTTATAATTGTTTTACATGATCGAGGTAACATGCACATATGAATTTGTATGTAATATAGATCTCTCTAATGATAGTACTATCGTGTTTTTGTGTGTATATAGTTGTATATGTGTAAATATCGATATATCCACATAGACCGGTTAAGATGGTTCATACATACATAGAAACATACATACACACAAAACATACATACATATACAATACACATACATACATAGCATACATACATGCCGTTTAAGATGGTTCATGGATACACACATACGTACACGACATAAGTACCTGTTATATTGGTCTGTACATACATAATCAACATACATACATACACAGCATATATCACATTCTTATATACCTATTTAAATGGTCCATACATACATACACACACAATATGCATACCTTTACAATATACATACATACACAACATACATACTTACCGTTTATGTTGGTTCGTGGATAAAAGCATACATACACTACATACATACCGATTAAGTTGGTTCGTGGATAAAAGCAGACATACACTACATACATATCGGTTAAGATAGTTTGTACATGCATATACAACATGCAGAACAACATGCATACATACCGGTTTAGATGGTTCATAAAAATACATACACAATATACATGCACAAAATACATACATACAGAGCATACATATATACAAAACATACATACATATACAACATACCTGCATACCTGTTCAAATGGTTCATACAAACACACACAACATACATACATACATATATACCTGTTATGATGATTATTACGTACATACACAGCATATATACATACCTGTTAAAGTGGTACGTGCATACATACACAACATACCTGTTACGATAGTTCATGAAAACATACACAGTATACATTCCTACAGGGTAAGATGGTTCGTACATACATACACAACATATATGCATATGAATACATCTATAAATAATTATGAAAACATGTATAAATATTCATTTATATTTGAACGACTATACTTACTGTGATATCGCAAGTGAGTTTATACTATTCAAGAATGTGTCATTCACTATACATAGAAATACTTTCCAATGCTAAGCGCATATGTATACAGAAAATTGACATGTGCATTCAAATGTGTGTGTGTGTGTACATCTGCTGTTCGGAACTCGATTCGAAATCACATAATAAAGGATAGCACCTTATCATAAGTATGGGCTATGAATCCCAAATTCTTAATCAATGTATGTACAACAGTGACTTCTCATTGTTTTGTTTTTTGCCCATAAAACCGTATTTGCGTGCTTTATGAATATACGAATGTAGTTGTGCTTGTGTTTTCATACATGCGAGAACGTATATGTGCAAGTGTGTATGTATATATAACTGTAGTCGGTACGCGTATGTGCAAGTGTGTATGTATATATAACTGTAGTCGGTACGCGTATGTGCAAGTGTGTATGTATATAAAATTGTAGTCGGTACGCGTATGTGCAAGTGTGTATCTAGTATTGCATGCCTGCTCTCCTGGTCTACCCACTTGTATAGATAGGGCCCGCGAAACCTCTAGCACTTTCACTGGCAAATGCTTCCCAACACCTGGTTGTATATACGAATATATATAACTGCTTATATGCAAGCAGTTATATACACTGTTGATTTAGGTATATATTTAGTGCACCATATTAAGCATGTGTGTCGCATGTAACTGTACCCATAATGTTGGGATATATTTATGAATTTGTATCGATATATGTTCATGAATTCTTTCGTATTTCGCGTGTGCACTTATAGCCCTCTATACTCTCCGGCATATTTTGCGTGGTTAGGGTTTCAGGGTTTGAATCGTATTTGGATGTATACGTGATCGCCTTCCTGTTAGTGCTGGGTGTTAAAATCTATGTCATCCGGGCGTAAGTGCAGTCATGGTGCATGGCTGTATGTGCGCGTAAGTGCACCACCTTGTCAACTATGACAGGACCGTATTTATATGCCAATGTGTATATTGCAGTTGAAATATGCATCAGAAGGGGTTAGGCATGGTCTAGCCTTGTTTATTTTTTATTGAAGTCTCGCGTATGTCTATAAAACGACTATGTCATTTCTTGCTGCTTATTCTGTACTTAGTTCAATGTTGTTTAATTCCGTGTACTCGGAAGCTTAGGTTTATATACCTCCGGTGGCGGCGTCGTGGTCGGTCAAGGTCTGTTAATACACGGAGACGACCAATCCCTATTCAACTCGAGAGATAGCTCATGTACAAACCGATATACACAGCCAGAATAAATATATCCGGTCCACTGATAGCATTATACCAAGCTTCTGCATCCACATGATCGGGGTCAAAGTAGTGCATGCAGTTATAGCTGTTGTCACTCATAGGCTTCGACTGGCAGTCGTCCGCTTGTGGCGCCTCTTTTTCATTTAGATAGTCCAGAAAGCACCTGATTCCCCACATTGGTCTTTGCGGCGTGGGCTCGGCCTCAAGTCTCAGCATATTCTCGGGTCCAGTTAGAGTCACGAACGGATCTCCAAACTCTGTAAACAGCTTACGAAGCATTGTCTTTCTCGATCTACTCGTACGTGAGCCCAGACTGCCCACTTTGCCCTCCATGCATTCCGCGTGGCAGCTATGCGCCACACCCGCGCACACAAACTTCACAATCGGATCAAAGTGTATAGCTTGTACAAACGCCATGAGATAGTCCTCTCCTGTGACATATTTGTCTACCTGTAGCCTCTGTGTCCTATAGTAGTCCATGAAGAATCGTGTGTAAGCGTCACGGTGCTGTATGCCTCCCTTAGTAATCAATAACGAGTTCCGTGGGTAAGGTTGCGAGTATGACTCGTACCACAGTTCTTTACGGTGTCGATCTAGTTGTCGAGCGTGAAATCCGACAGCTGACTTTGGGTGCAGCTTCCACAACGCGAAAGCCGCCTTTAGTGCTGTACAACTATAGAAAGTGTCCACATCTACAGTGAATACACCTTCTGTCACAAACCGCCTGGGCCAAAATCGGTACGATAGTTTGTCGGGTAGCTCGTCTAGTATTACTTTTGGACCGTTCGAATCTAGTTTCGGCCAGTTGAAGGGTATATCCTCATTCCCTTCGAACCAGTTTACACGAATGGAATGCACTATGTCACACTTGGACCAAATGCGCAATTGTTTGGTAAGACACGCGGGCTGTTTGAATGTTGATATCACCACGGTTATTTTATACGTGTCAAGCTCTGTTACCTGCTTTGTTCTATGGTTTACTTTGCCGGAATTGAAAGGCTTGATATAATACACACTACGTTCTGAGGCATCTTTATCCTCCCTACCTTGAGGATAAGGCAACAGATCAGGTACTCCTGTGTGTGATGTATATTGTGCACTATGCTGCTCTTGCTTGGTGTGTAATGTACGGTTTGGATGATGGTCATCCAGAGCGTTTACGGGTGCGATTTGTGTCTTGCTCGTAAATTCTGCAAGTTTGCCTCTAACATCTTGCCTCAGTACCTGTTGAACCGTATGTGTACTATTCCTGGGGCCAAACTTCGTTGATGACGCTTTAATCGCAGCCAGTTTGACTATGTTATCATCATTGATAGAGGAGTTATTAGAAATACTGATTTGATATGAATTACCAGGCGTAGGTTCGGTGTAGCCTAACTTGCTTCTAAATCGGGGGTGTGATATGTACAAGTTGACGGCGACATACACCACCGGCATGATGGCGATGATGAACACCACCGTCCCCCACCATTGTAATGTAGCACGTAGCGATTTGCCTTTCCGAGGTACTATAGACAGCGGTTTGTATGCGAGCGTATTTAGTGCACTGGTTGATCGGGATGCCCTCTGCATATTGCAATAGTTCTCGACGGTGTATAGTCAGTAGTGCCTTTTAGGAGATGGAAAAGAGGAAATCGATATGATTGTATCAACGGCATACAAAGTTTCGGCGAGGAATTTATAGGCTCTATGTTATGTACTATCAAGCCCTGAAATATGCTAAATACATACGAAGGTCGGCATACTTAACATAGGAAACATGGCAAAAGTATAACCTAGCTCTCCCGGGTATACGACACCCATTAAAGCATGGTTCGACAAGTTCGGTCTAAAAAGCACTCTTAAAGCATTTAAAAAAAATAGTGCTCTGAAGTCTGAATCTGCTGAATACGAAATGTGCTAAAAAAAAGTAGGGTTTAAACTTTAAAGTATGGGTTGAACGGTTTATTGTAGGATTTAGGGTTTGGAGGTTGACAATCAGCAAGACGCCGCTCATTGGATTTAAAATTTTCTGCACCATCTTGCAATGGCCTATGAGATGCGCTTATCACACAACAGAGTTGACAAATATTCAAAGCAAAGTACAGGGCTATATATAAAGTGCTATGAAAATACATATGTATACTACTCGAGCATTGAGTCAGTGAGACTCTTAGACAGTGACTGTGCACTGTGTACAGGTTTCTTTGCTGCTTGAAGCGACTTGAAATACTGAAGTTTGTGAATTCCTGACGGTTTGGATCTCATATCGTAGCTTGCAATCAGTGCTGACACGGAAATCTCAATCAAAAGTGTCAGTCCAAATAATATTCAAGTATCACGAGTCTCCGAATAGCTAACTGTGATCTCAGTTGAATATTCAATTTATCGTGTTCATCGGTATATCCCAGTGCCACTGCCACTTGAATAGAAGTATGTATTTAGTGAAGGAACAGTAACTATTTTTGGTAAAAAAATCGAATAAACCTTATGCTTCCAAGTAGCGTCTTCATCAATTAATGGCATGTATTTGTAGAATTTGAAACTACATCGCCTAAGCTATACAATTC